CAGCACAGTACTAATGGACACTGCAAATCAAGTAGTCATCCTGCAGGCCAGGGTGCAGCTGGGCAGTTCCAGGAGGCTCACTGGTGGCTGTCGAAACCAAGGGAAATCCACAGGAAGGAACCTGGGGCTCCCTGGGTGCATTTACTTGTGAACCACGGATATTTGCAAGCAACTGGCAAAAGCAAGTCTGTGGCCTGAGCGTCAGGTAGTCAGGGGACATTAATTGCCAGTAATTTCTTAATGTCCTTCTCCAAGTCTTCATGAATGATAGCCATTTTGCAAATTAAATCTTGCAGGTATTTAAAGGAAAAAGAGCAAACAGGTTAATCATTAGATTAACGGCAATTGTTACACATTTCTTCTGCACTACTTGGTTCTATAATTAAGTCTGAAACTGAGAAATCTTTCCCAGGGTATATTCAAGTTTAATAAAAAGACAAATAGACTATGTCTAAATAAAATATAACTCCAAATAACATGATACATGCTAATTAGAGATATGTTCTTCCAAAAGAAATCTCTTCTAAGACTGTATAACCAAGAATATAGTTTAAAAGTAACAGAAATGCTAATAATACAATATTCCCCTCCTTGAATATTTATGTTATTATTATAATGATAGTTAGGAAATCTTAATGGCATCATTTGCAAATGTTGTTTCTGTCTATATAATCTTTTTCTTCATAATGCATCCTTTTCCTCATCTCAGAGCCACATTGGTTTCTTCCCACTATGGTCTCCTGGGGAATCGCAATATTATGATATTGAAGAAGTATTTTGATCTTTTCTTTTTTTTGAGATAGGGTCTTGCTCTGTTGCCCAGGCAGTAGTACAATGGCACAGTCATGGCTCATTGCAGCCCCAGCCTCCTGGGCTATGCAATCCTCCCACCTCAGCCTCCTGAGTGGGTAACTGGGACTACACGTGAGCACCACCACATCCAGCTAATTTTTCCATGTTTTGTAGAGACAGGGTCTCACTATGTTGCCCAGGCTGGTCTTGAACTCCTAGGCTCAAGCAATCCTCCCACCTCCACTTCCCAAAGTGCTGGTATTACAGTGTGAGCCACTGCGCCCAGCCTTTCAAATTACAAAAAAACTAGAAAAAAGTTTTGAGGAAGCAAACTTTGGTGCTCTTAGGAATTTGTGCTTACTTGTAAATTATCAACATTCCTAATCCATAAAGAGGACTATAAATGAGATCTGAACAAGAAAAGGAAACAATCTTCCTTTACATTGCCTGGAGTGGCCATTTGTCTTGAATTTTGATTTCCTGCTTGATTTTTGGATGTTAGTTTAGACAATAAGATATTTCCCATGTAAAAGGAAAGAGATCAAACATAAGGCATTTGGAAGTGACTAACATTTGTGGTCTTGTTTGTTGCTCCTTTTTAGAGGGATAATGGTTACAAGACATTACTCTCTTAGGAAAGAGTATTTTTAAGTGTGTATTACTATGAAAAGTAAAACTGGTGTTAGCAAGTTGGACTAAATGTTTCTACAAGAGTACAAAATCACTAAGGAATCTCTGCAACTTTCCCGTTCCTAGGTGAATCACAAGGACAGAAATGTTCTCAAGTCCAAAAAGGAGCTGGGAAAAGAGTGAGCTGTTAGTTCCCTGAAAAGTCTCTAATACATGAAATAATGAGATTGACATCCCATTGTCCATACAATGCCCACAGACTGCACAAGTATTTTTTTTATCCATTGTTTCAAAAACTTAAGCCAGCAAATAAGCCTTTGGGGATAAGGATTCTACAAAATACATTATGAATTAACACTATCCACTTCTTAGAGCCAACATTCTGAAATGTGTAAACTAGTAGTTAGAGTCCTTAAGTGAATACAGCTGTGATTCACGGGCCTCTCCAGGCAGTGCTTAGAAGTATTTTGAAGAAAGCCCAATATTCGTAGCAATCCAGACAACTCTTCAAATAAAAATTTATCAGTTAAAAATATAACCTACATGCTATAAAGGTTAACCTGGCTTCAATCCATTCCACCTTAATGCATAGTGACAGTTTGTGAGAGATGTATGTGACACTTTCAACCCACCCCATGAAACAGAAAAACCCAAAGAGAAATGAAGGATGGAGAGGCAAACAAAATTTAAAGAGCCCATTTTGAGTGGGCCATCATTTTGAGAGTCGCGTTATTTTTGTCCTTGTTTTTAGCAGCAAATCAATTCCTGACTACACCCAAGCGTTTATGAAGAGAAATGCATGGGGACCATAGGCACAGCTGTCCAATTTACATTCACAAATGCAGGTGTTGCTTAGACACAAAACAGAGGTCAGCTGAATACTGCTCCTAATTAGCTACCTTTTCTACTAGGATTTTTCTTTGTAAAGTTATGCATGCAATTTGGGTTCAACTTAGAGACCATTTTTAGATCCCAGCATGCTATCCAGCAACAAACGAGCTGTCATTATAAAGCATAATTTACAGCACAGTTAATTTTATGTTTTTTTAAGTCTACACTATACCTAAGGCAAAATTCTGTTCTGCACACACACATTATTCACTGTTTTCTATCCACTTCTCAACACTTAAAAAAGGTAGAATTTAGCCAGAAAACTCTATTATGCAGGAATGGGAAGAATTTTGCCCTTTTTCTAAGATTAAGAAAATCCACAATTTTACTAACGAGGACTAAGGACTTTGTTAAACGATACAAGAAGAGAGTAGCCATTTGCTATTGTCTTCAGTAGGGAACACCCAGGGGCTTATTACAAACAGTTCTTAGAAATGGCAGGATGGAGACTGGTATCTAATACAATCCATTAGGAAACCCAAGCCCTAAATGAAATGACCACAAAATCCTATCAGTTAACAGAAATGCAGCAGCTGTACATGTTTATTGTAATACAATATAATATTGTAACAGAGACAACACTCTTTAAAATTAAAAAAAAAAAAAGAAGCCAGCAGGTGATATGACTAGTTTATTTCTCTATTTGAAACACACACATACACACACACACATACACAAGAAGGCATAGCATGTCAGAGCTTTGGGATACATAAGGAAGGATGAAGACTGCAGAGAAGGCAGAAATTGTTTGTACACTAATGGACAACTGGTATTAGCTGGCAAAGTCACTGGCTAAACATCAAACCACTGCAACTTCCAGGTTTTGCAAGTTGTTCAAAGTCTTCCCCAATAACTTCTGGTAGAAAGTAAAATGTGATTGTCCTCCTCCCATTGCTGACTTTACCTGCTGTACATATTTCAAATGCTAATTCCTAAACTGGCTCCCAGTTATCCATTTTTCAAAAATGTACACTGTGGAAGTTTAAATTCAGTTGGACCTTAAACTTTATAATGATGTAAACAATATAGATATAGATATGTTTTCTGGAGTGTTCTTCCAAATGAAATCAGGTGCCTTTCTTTAAAGGCTCATTATAAAGTACAGTTTGCAAAATATAACATGTATCACCAGGATTGTGACAAATCCATCTTGCTTGAATTTATTCCCTACAGGCAGCCCATCAAGATTCAGACCCATAGCCCTTCAGAATTAGAGAAAGACAAAAAGCCCTGTTCTATAGCCATCTTCTGGGATGGAATGCAAAGTATTTTGTTGTGGTAAGTAGGGCTTTGAAGAAGAAAGCACTGGGCCCACTCCTGGGGTTGTTACTCCAGTGCTTAGCATTTAAAATGGGAGCCCCAGGGTATTGGAGATCATTTTAATCCCCCTATATTAAAACAAAACCTGTTTCCTTTGTGTCATTCTTCCCACCCTCCTCCCCAGATTCACTGGCTCCTCCCAGGGGAAAGTGAACTTGACTGCTGACCGTCCCAAAAAAATTCCAAACAATTTCCTTACTTGCCTCTCTGTTCCAGTGAAGATTATGAGCCTAACTCTTAGAGATTGCTACCAAAATTCCACCCTGCTGAATTCTGCAGCCTAATTCTTTCAGCATTACGTTTTTTGGCAGAATGAATGTGACCCAAATTTGCAGGAGATAATTTGCTGCAACAGTGCTTCCTGCAATGCAGTGAGCCCATAATTAGCATTTCAGGATTGCAAATACCACACTTTTAGAAAAATAATAACTGTTTGCTTCAAGAAAGAACAGATTTGGATCTCATATTATAGAAATGGAAACACAACAAAATGTGGACAATTTTAGTAAAGATTTTATGAATTAAGGAAGCTTTACATATCAATGGGAAATAATTGAGGACTAGCAAGTGACCTCAGTAGTTGGTGGCAAAGGCTATAGCAGTTCTTTAAGGATTCAGAAAATAGTTGTGTACATGTGTGTGTGACTGTAAAAACATCATGCATTCCATTTCCCATCCATGGTGGCTAACACTATTCAAAAAGGACATTTTCAGACCTGTGTTGTCTTTTTAAAAAACAAAACAAAACAAAATTCTAACTATGGCTGTTCCTGTGTTTACCCACCATGCTTCTCACAGATGCTTGGCTATGTGAGCAATGTTGTTTCATGGATTCATGATTTCATCTTTTTTCAATATCAATCAGCTTTAACATCAGATGTCAAAAGAGACTTGACATTTTTCTTAACAAGAACTCGTGAGTCAGATTTTGAAAAGAGCAATAGTAATATTTCCACTGGGTACCAGAATTAAACTGAGTAGGCTAAAACTTTCTGGCCATGCTTCTGTGGCTGATTACTTGGCTTTTATAAGAAATATCTACCACTTATCTTTCATGAACTCTGAGTGCAGTCTGCACTCTACTGCTGGAAAGATACTGGCCATGAGGTTACCAGCTGTGATCACAGTGTCCTCATCAGATTCATTCACTCTCTCAGAATGCAAACACCAAGCCAAGAGAAACACGTTAGAAGGGGATTCCTTATTCCAAAAGGTTAAGCATGACACAGAAGGGGAATGGACAAAACAGAAAGAAAAAAAATATAAAAATAAAAGGTGCACAGTGTTCTCCGCTAGAAGCTACGAGGCACATGCGTGTGTGGGCTGGTGAGGCCTGCGGGGACTGCCTCTCTCTCCGATGCTCTTACCTTATTTCTCTTGAAGTAGGCTCGTCGGCAGGCCGCAAAGCACTTCTCGCTGCAGAAGCTTTTCACCTCACTTCCCATACTCAGGGAATAGCGCTTGATTCCCACTTTCTGGCACCAGGCACACATTATTTGTACATTTGACACATCATCTTCTATAATAAAAGTATAAGAAAAATGTTCATATCAGAAGCAAACATCCCTTCAAATTTAGACACACCCTGAACCTGACAGAGTACCCGGGTCTGATTTTAGTTTCTGGACCTTGGAGAAGTGCTTTTTCTTTCTCCCTCTCCCTCTCTTTCTCTCTATTTATTTATTTATTTAGGCCCCTAAGTTTCCAAAAGATATTTACTTAAAAACCAGAGCACGACTGTAGAGCCATGAGGGCTCCTAGGGCTTCTTAGCCTGATTTTAAAAAATAACAAAAACAAAAGCTTCATCTGCCTAGTTAAACCAGTCCCAGTACTAATGAAGCTTGTAAAATAACTCATTTATTCAAAGGTCCTGTGAAACCTTACAGGATCTGCACTGGGTGGGACAATTTGTAGGGTGCCAACTTACAAATGGAACACCCTCATGTGAACCTTGACCAGACACCAGGCTCAACCATGGCATGTTCTCTATTACTGTTAAATGATATGTGCTATTGTTTACTCTTGCAATTTAATAATTCTCAAGCAATGCGTTTAGTCAAAAAAGGAAAGATGTTCATGGCCAGATTCTGGCAACGGAAAGGGACAAGACTGGCTTGATGAAAAGACTCTGATAATGCAACATCCAGGCTGGTGTCCTAAGGGAGATGCAGGCCTGGTTGAATTTCTCCTCCATGTCATGTGGTTCATGGATGCTGGATGGAGGGATGGTAATGGGAATGCCAGATCTTTCTCAGCCAGATTGGTGGTCCTCCCAGCTCCTCATGTCATGTCATGCGGTGGCCCAGAATGAATTTAGGTGGTTTGCAAATATTTCTACTATTTAAATTGTTGTATTTATTTTCCTTTGCATGAGAAGAAAACAAATTTAACTAGCATAATGAGCCCATAATATCACAAACACTACTGCTTAAACAAAGAAAGGATTTTAAAGTGAGTCAATTAGTAAAATATATTTAGTAAATCATAGTGTAGGTGGTCAGAGGTTATGACAAAAATTATGATGGTGATATTTGGGTCTGGGAAACACTGGCCTCTTTGAGGGGTGGGTGGGGGTGTGGACAAAAGGAAACTTTAAGTAGACACCCAAGTAATATTTCCTTGTTGCCTGTTAGTGGCTTTTGCTACATCTTGAGTTTTCTCTGTCCTCCCAATTGACAGCAATGTGTGTGCGTGTGTGTGTGTGTGTGTGCGCGCGCGCGCACGCGCGCCTGCGCGTGTGTGACTGATTGCCACATCTCTTCTTCCTTTATGGAATTTTTTTTTTGTATTAACCCAGACTCATGCTCCAGACATGAATGATAATCACAAAATCCCCAACAAGCACTAGTATAGTATTGTCTGATTTCTAGATAAAATCCCCCAGAGATTAATTGCTAAGCAAAGCCTGGTCCATGAGTTGTTGACATATTCATGGTTCATAGAGTCTGTCATGCAATCATTTCATTTCCAGGGAAAAGATTTAGTTTGAGGCAGTGTGGTCATCAGCCTGCAAAATTAGAAGCAAACTAATTTGTAGTGCAGTGATACAGCCTTTTTCCCCCTGAGTATCACCATTCCAAACTATGTTCAGCATTTTATTTACTTTGGTGGAATAAATATTGCCATTTTAATGCCCTTTTTGTATTTCACAAATTATATATTGTGATCTATTGTTAATTATCAAATGAGATAGTATAAAAAATGACCTTTGATGTCAAACATTTTTGATCACATAACTTTCTTTAAATGACATAGTATACATTCAAATGTCAAACAATTACTGTATTTAATAATTTGTTCTATTCAAAGCAAACTTTTTGAAATTTCAGGAATATCATTAACAAAAAATTTAAAAATAAAATAAATAAATAAAAGCAAGCTTTTATTTATATTTTACATGATCTCTAATATGGTATCTCTCTACATATTAACATTATACAATGGTATGAAAAAATTAGCAAAGCTGTATAATTTACCTTAGCATATGAAGGAGTTTTCTTAGATTAGAAACAGCATACATTTTAAAATAATCACCTGTCTTTACTAAACTAGATAGCAACTAATAGTTTCTATTTTTCCCAATGATAAGATGTTTTAAAATCTTAAATTCCTGAAAAAGAAGATGATACAGCAGAATTCTCATAAATGATCCACTGGCAGTAAGCTTGATCCTGGTGAAATCTGTAAGGAAAAACATTTATGCGGGAAATCATCTGGCCTCACGGTTTAATGAGGAGATCCCCACGTCCCAAGGAGCCATTTTAGAACATGCACTAGGTCCCTGTCATTGTTTCTTCCTTTAAATAATCTGACTTGTAAAACAAAGTATAAAATTGTTTAAGACCTAGATCTTTAACTATAATGGACCAACACTGAGATGAGAAAGAGTAGAGTGCAAGGCTATTCACAGGGCCAGGGCTCAGCGTGAGGCTTGGGCCAGGCCTGGAGGAATCATGCTTGGGGCCAAAGGGTAGCTCCGGGGTCTTTCTCAAACTTCAATCCATCATCACCAGACAGACCCACCTGTCATTTTTTAAAGAGAGGCAAGAATACTTTCTTACAATGGACCTAACAAATGAACAAAAAGGTAGAATTGTAAAAAAGGTTATTTCTTATAAATCATTCTTACTACAAAGCAACAATATGACATGAGACAAAAGAAATTGTGCACTTTTATATCTGGCAGTTGGAAAACTCTGAAAATGATAGTATTTGCCTTGTTAAATAAGTCAATATTCCCAGCAGTTTTTGTAAAATTTTGTTTCACAAAGGTATATGCTTTGGAAAACTCCTATCAGATTTCTCCTTTTCTGGTATTAAACTTTTACCAGCAGCTAATGATCCAAAGAACAGTCTGATAATTGGATTATTCAAAAAAGTTTTCAGCTATCCCAGGCATTCTAGATTTATAAAAGTCATTTATATTAGTAATACATTTTAGAAACTAAAAAAGAACTCCGATTATCTAAATTAATACTGTCAGCCAAAATATAGTTCAAAATTCTGCCACCAGACATGAGATGGTATCCCCATATCTTATGACTGCACCCCTAGAAAAGTGAATGCTTCTTAAGCGGTTAAAGCCAAAGCGATCAGGCCACTTCAACACCTGCATCTCTTTCTACCTGAAACCTGGAAATGAAGTGTATGCTTTACACTGGCAAAATAGAAGGCTTCAGCACTTTAACTTTTCTCACTTGATCTGCTATAAAATTTTTTTCTATTTTGAAAAATATTTCTTCAAGCTAGGGAAAACCTAATTACCTATCTTATATTTTAGCTAACAGTCTGTGCCATTAGAGACTTGAGATTACCTCAGAGAAGATTCACATAACAGATTTTTACATTACATTATCTTACAGCCATTAGGCTGTGCATTTTTATAATAAACAATGCAACTACAAATGCAAAATGTTTACAGTATTAAATCACATTTCCAAAGAGAACAGTTTGTATAACATAATAAAATTTTCATATGATAATGTAATATAAATATGTATCAGTCAAAATATGCATATTTCAATTAATCATGAAAATTTTATATCACCTCTTTAGAATTTAATTAAGCAGAATGTTTAAGGCATATTCTTTCCAATATAACGTTCAAAGAGCTATTGAACATTTTTCTACCTTACATCCCAAAAGAAGTTCAGATTAATTACTCCAAGATGAAATTAAAATTGTATTTATTTATTACAGTACAGGGAAGTGTGAAACCAAGCATTTCTGAAATGCCCTGCTGAAGGTGTTTGAGAAACTGCATTATCTGGTTACTTTTAAAAATAAAGATGGCCATTGGTCAGTGATCTCCTTGGGGCATTTGAATTGGCTATAAACATGCATACTAACTTACCTGACCAGCACCCAAAGAAAATCAGTAGGACATTAATGGACTCTGGGCAATTAAACTGTAGATCTACCACCCCTTTGTAACTTTCATGGGAGTCCAAGTCTGAGGGGAAATTCTGAAAGTATTTTCTGGAACATCTATCTCCTCCAACAGTTCCTAGAATGCACATATCCAGATAATCAATGAAAGATCTGGATTATATTTGAGACAAGGTGCAAGGCAGTCTGAGGAGACTCTGTTGTTAGGCTGGAGTACAATGGCACGATCTTGGCTCACTGCAACCTCTGCCTCCTGGGTTCAAGCAAATTCTCCTGCCTCAGCCTCCTGAGTAGCTGAGACTACAGAGGCAAGCCACCATGCCCAGCTAATTTTTGTATTTTTAGTAGAGACAGGAGTTTCACCATATTGGCCAGGATGATCTCGATCTCCTGACCTTGTGATCCGCCCACCTCAGCCTCTCAAATTGCTAGGATTACAGGTGTGAGCCATGTACCTGGCCGGCAGCAGCTATACTTAAGAACAGAATAAAGACACGGCCTGGAAAGTTGGCAAGAAACTAGAGCTAAAGTTTGCTTTCTTTATCACTTCTTCGAAGAGAGAAATTCCTTTTTGAAATAATTCAATTCCAAAGACTTTAAAGCAATCTAAGTTAAAACTTCTTCAGAGTCCACCAGGAGCTTCTGTACAATTCCCCGTGTTCTAGGAGTGAACATACAAGGAGATCCAGAGAAAACTGGTATCACTAAGCCACAAAGAACATCATCAGAGTTGGCAGTACTTAGTAGGTGCCTGCACAGTGCATGGCTCATTTCAATGTTATTTAATCTTTTTCACAACCACCAACAACCAGGCAGCTACTAAAATTAATCTCCATTGTGCAAATGAGGAAAGTGAGTTTATATGGTAAGTAATTTGCTGCTAATCATGCAATGAGTATATCAGAGCCTGACTGAGGACCAGGCCATCTGATTCCAGAGCCCAAGCTCTTGACCACTATACCTTAGAGACCACGGCTTTCCTAAGCGGTAAGATTATAAACCATCCTCACAGACTCCTCTCTACAAAAAGGACTAAAAGCTGTCACAGATTTTGCTACTTAACACAGCACACTGCCCGGTGACACAATAATAGACAAAGAAAATGAAATCAAAAAGGTCAAAATGTCTTT